CATTCTGCTATTGAGGTTGGGGCTGTAGAGGCGTGCATTTTACGGTCTGGGTCTCGTGTTATGTTTGCGAGACTGGCAAGTCCTGTTGTGTGCGGGTGGGCAGTAGCTGTGCTGTGTGTGCGCAGTCTACCCGTAGGTGCTTCTTGATGGTCGTGGCGGGTGCGGTGATGCGCTAGCGCAGATGACGTGTTTGGGCTGCTTCGCTGTCACCGTGCTTTCAGTGGCGGACGTGGTGTTGTACGAAGGGTGTTGTTCAGGGCACCTTCGTGTGCACTGCAACCGCCGTGAGCTGTGTGCTGCTGCTGTGTCCGCAAGTGTATGGTGATTGCGGCCCAGGAGCCGCCTGGTCCTAGGTGCTTACACGGCGACAATGATGATGCTGTATGTGCGTGGTCGTGGTGGTGGTGGTGTTGAGGGCAATGCAGCGTTGCTGTGTAGCAGTTGGGGGCCGGCGTTGTGGGGTTGTCGTCATGTAGCGGTGGAGGAGGAGGAGGCCGAGAAGGCGGCCTTTCCTTTGGCGTTGCTCGGCGCAATCTGAGTGTGTGAACTACCTGGTTGATCCTGCCAGTAGTCATATGCTTGTCTCAAAGATTAAGCCATGCATGTCTCAGTGCAGGCCTTTATACGGTGAAACCGCGAATGGCTCATTAAATCGCCTATGGTTTAATTGATCGTGCCCGTTAAATGGATAACTGTAATAACTCTGGAGCTAATACATGCCTCGGTGCCCTGATCCTCACGGGGATGGGTGCACTCATTAGATCAGAAACCAATCGTGTTCAGCCGTGGCAACATGGCTGGGCGCGTTGACCTTCTGGTGACTCTGGATAATTGTTACAGATCGCAGTCGGCCTTGAGTCAGCGACGGGTCCTTCAAATGTCTGCCCTGTCAACTTTCGATGGTAGGTGACCTGCCTACCATGTTGATAACTGGTAACGGGGAATCAGGGTTCGATTCCGGAGAGGGAGCCTGAGAAACGGCTACCACTTCAAAGGGAGGCAGCAGGCGCGCAAATTACCCACTCCCAGCACGGGGAGGTGGTGACGAAAAATGTCGATGCGGGACTCCTTCAAGAGGCTCCGTAGTCGGAATGAATGGACTCTAAATCCTTTCACGAGGATCAATTGGAGGGCAAGTCTGGTGCCAGCAGCCGCGGTAACTCCAGCTCCAATAGCGTATATTAAAGCTGCTGCAGTTGAAAAGCTCGTATTTGGATCTCAGTAGCACTGTTGCCTGTTGGTCTTTGGGTGGATGGTTGGCGTAGCTATCGTCGTTGTCGTTAGTGGTGCATGGGTGTGACCCGTGTTACTGAAGATGCGGCGTTGGCTGCGGCGGCAGCTGTGCATTCCAAGCTAGCGGGGTAGCGGTGTGAAGCCACAGGTGTAAGCGAGTGTCGGGCGACGTTCTGCGGTAGTGGGGCTTGTCGGCTCGTTTGCATGCCTCTGGATGCCCTTAAGAAGGTGTCTGTGGGCGGATGGCACGTTAACTTTGAACAAATTTAAGTGCTCAAATCAGGCCGATGTTGCCTGAAAAGTTTTGCATGGAATAATGGAATAGGACTTCGGTTCTATTTCGTTGGTTTTCGGATCCGAAGTAATGATCAAAAGAGACTGGCGGGGGCGTTTGTATGGCTGCGCTAGAGGTGAAATTCATGGACCGTAGCCAGACAAACGAAGGCGAAAGCATTCGTCAAGCATGTTTTCATTGGCCATGGGCGAAAGTCAGAGCCTCGAAGACGACCAGATACCGTCTTAGTTCTGATCATAAACGATGCCAACTGA